TTACAGTATTATATATCACAGTACCTAAGTTAAAATAAAACAAATAAAAAAGACAAGGACAGAATGCTAGGAAAACGGAAGGGCATTAGTAGAGAGGAAAAAGAATCACAGAGAAGCAACAAGTCAATTACCCAAGAAGCACAAAATTACACCAGAGTGTACTATCATGGAAGTCAAGAGGGTCATTGTTTCAAGGCTTGAATTATCAATATTTCAAGTTACACAAGAAAATTTATAAAAGATAACAAACAGGCCAGGGAGATAGTATAGAGATAGGATGCTGGCCTTGCCAGTAGTAAACTGGGCTCTGTTGCTGACCCTAAGCACCCCACACAGTCCCCTGATCCCTGTTGGGTGTGATCCCTGCACTTAGAATGAGGAGTAATCCCTGAACACAGCCCAAAAAACAAAAAATAAAATAGAGTAATTTAAGTTAATTTAAAGATAAAAGCAGTCTTTAATTTGGAATTAATTGGAGTCATTAAAAAATTTAACCAGAGCAGTTTCAGCAAAATGAGAGAAGCTGGTTAACAATGAACCAATGACCAAATAGCTGATAAAGAGAAAACAGCAGATGAATAAAAACGCTTTCTTAAATATTTCCAATAATGTTTCAAAATATCAATGCTAGAGAATATCACAATTATATAGAAAAGCTAGGCATACCATTGAGAACCAGTTTGATTGTGGTGGTGAATCTTAAAGCCAAGCTTCCTTAAGCTCATAATTATAGACCCTGATCCAAAGCATCTTTATAGCCAAAATCCCCAAATATAAGTGAGGATCAAAGAAGATGATGAATATAAAGATTTAAGCAAACTAAAAATGTCATACAAATGTTAGCTATTATTGTCATTATTACTACAATTTGTACTTTTTATATTTTGATCCGTGTATCAGCCTACTTTATATGAGTTGAAAAACAAATTAAGAAATCTGTCTAGTGGAGTTTGCGGAGAGGAAACACCAGTAGTTAACTTATGCATTATGCATATAATTTAGACTCAAGCGAGCCAATGGATAACTGCAGTGAAGCACAATTGCCCTCTTTAGACAGCTCAATGTGAGCTTCCTGATAGAAAGAAAGCATCCCAAAGTCCTATGTAATTGAATGTGGTAATAATGGGAGGATTGTATGCTTGCTTGCTTCTTATTTCAGTTGGATCATTTGAATAAATTCTTTACACAAATGGCAACCGCTGTCATTTTGATGACCTTCCAACTTGAAAATTTGGATTGTTGGGTGCAGATACTTGCCAGTTTTATAAAACGGAGGTTCGCTGATGAATGATTTTGAGGACATGCTTTCCTTGCTATGAAGTCTCAAAGTAAGCAAGCTTTTTCTATTGTTACTGCATTCAAAATTAGGAAGTTTTTAGAAGAATTTATTACTGATATACATATACCATTTGATGAGTCAGAGTCTTCCACATACACCGTTAATTCCCCAAGGTATTTAAATCGTTTCTTCTTGCCTCTGATTTACACTTTCTAAGACAAAGCATCACACATTTGCAATCCAATATAATTTATCTTTGTGACTTTTTAAATTTGGCATCAAATATTCCATTTTAAAAAATTATAAATTATATAATTTAAAATGATATATTAAAATTATGATTTGTATGTTACATAATTTAAATATTTCTAATTAAGTAATTAAATATAAATTTAAATTATATTATAATTAAAGTTAGAGCTAATATTTTAACTATAAATTAATATTTTTACCATATGCCTTCTCTTTTTCAGGGAGTATAAAAGTAAACAAGATGGGATTCTGTTTTCAAGAAATGCCTATACTTATGACTGAAATACAAGCATAAAAATATTTAAATCTGTAACTGTACCTCACCGTGACTCACTAAAATAAAAAAAAAATGCCTATTCAGAGAAAAGTTTAAAAACCCATGTCCATTTAATGACATTATCACTAGAATAAAGGTACATGTTTAATACATTAATAAGGTAAAGGTAAAGGTAAAGGTAAAGGCCCTCCCGTTGATCATCGATTTGCCCGAGTGGGCCCAGTAACGTCTCCATTGGAGACTTTGTTGTTACTGTGTCTGGCATATCGAATACTCTCGGTAGCTTGCCGGGCTCTCCGAGAGGGGCAGAGGAATCGAACTCGGGTCGGCCATGTTGGCTGCGTGCAAGGCAAACGCCCTACCGCTGTGCTATCACTCCAGCCCTAATACATTAATAAATTGATTAATCTCCCAAGGGTATAAAAGTGGTAAGGTTTCACAGAAGGAGTATTTAATCACAGTCAAAAAGGGTCTTCATTTTTAAATAAGGAAGGAGAATATGTTCTCTTATTTTGATCTGTAAGAGTTTGAGGTGAGCCAGTTGCACCTCACACATTTTTGTTTCTCTACCTGCTAAAGCTTAAATGCTTATTTCTGTCATCCTCAAATCATGTACTCAAACATCTTTGATGGGATGCTATTTGGAGCTGTGGGATCTTTATCATGGAGGAAGGGACCCAAATGGATAGGATTAATCCTTATGCAAAGGACACTAAGTCACAAAACAAAGCAGAGGGAAGTGTAGATAGGACACACATGGGACCACTATGACAATCTTAGTTGGTAATAATCACTCTGGACACAAACTGAGTGCTCAGAGGAGGTAAATTGATATATATGATGCCCTTTCAGAACCAATACTGCAGTGTCAAAAAGGAGAGGGAGGGAGGGAGGGAGGGAGGGAGATGGAGGGAGAGAGAGGGCGGGATAGATGAATGGAGGGAGGGAAGGAGAGAGAGGAGAGAGAGAGAGGAAGAGGGTGGAGAGAGAGTGAGGAAAAATGTCAGTCATAGAGGCAGGCTATGGTGGGGTGGAGGAAACAAGGGGTATAGGTTGTAGATAATTGTGCAATGTTGAAGAGATGAGTGTTGAAATATTGCATGACTGAAACTCAACCATGAACAACTTAGTGACTGTGTATCTCATGTGATTCAATAAAAAAAAAAAATTCTTCCTTCTGCCATGTAAACTCTGACATTAAGTCAACTGATATTGCCATCTTGGATTTCTTATTCTCCAGCACTGGACATCAAGTTGGTTGTTTAAGTCACCCAATTTACAGTATTTATTATTCAAATTTCAGATTACGTCAGTGAAAATAGATTACTAATTACATTAAATCCAAATGCTATTAAGATATCATCTTTCTTCTAGGATCAGATTCTTCTTAGACATTTTCAAGGTATTATCTTTTTTTACAGAAATATCCTTCTAAGACAATTTCAAAACTACAATTTCTGAACTTGTTTATGACAATGATGTTTTATGTACTCAACAGGAGGGGCCAGGGACATGGCTGAGAAGGCAGTAGTACATGATTTGCATGTCTGGATATGATCCCTACCCACTGAATTATTGTCCCACTGATACTATTTTTTGCCCCCATCAAGCTGTATGCTACTATTTGAAGAACTAAATTTAAACAGCAAACAATTGATTGGCACTTTGTTGGGGGCAGGGCAAAGACAGAATGCTGGTCGCTATTGTTTTGCTGGATAGTCCCTCCTGGTGATGTTCAGGGCACCATGCCATGACAGGGATTGAACTGGGCCTCCTGCATACAAAGCATGTGTTCAGCCCATGGAATTCTCTCCAGCTCTTGGTGGACATTTTATCTGCAGTTGTTTTGTTTTCATTTATAGATAATACTATAAAGAATAGTTTTGTGTGAATGTCTTATATTTTGTTAACATATTTTTAAAATAGGATCATAACAACTTGGCAATACAAATAGTAAATGCTTATTTTATTTTGCAATTTATTGTCAAATTTCACTCCAACTCACTGTACTGCAATGAGCAAAGCACATGAGAAATTATTTCCCCACCAACCTGTCAAAAGAATATTGTCAAAGGAATTTAGACTTTTGCTAATCTGAAAACACTTACCTATATTTAAGTAATGTTTATATAGCTATTTTTTAAATTGTGTGCTTACAGTTCTAGTTTGCAGTTTTAAGATACATTTTGGGGAATTACGTTCTTCTTAGCATACTCACCTACCAAGCCTGTGTAGTATTGGTTGCTTATACTATTTCCAGTTTATCATTTAAAAAGTTATTTCATAAGTTTTTATGTGCCATGTAAAAACACATGTAAGTGTGTTGAAATTCACTTTCTTTTGGGTTTAAAATTTCCTACAAGTAAAAGAAATTCCCAAGTATTTTCACCTACACAAATACAGCTAGATACTGCACATTTAAATATATGGCTCACAGCCTCTAAAACTCATTCTAGTGTGAAATACAAACTAGTACGGCATATAAACTCAATAAATTCCTTATAGTCTGTTAAGTCTGATCTCAACTGGCTTCAGTAGCCCACACTAACTGTTGCTGAAGCATCCCATTGTTATTCACTGGTTCTTAACTCAAGAGGCATGGTTTTTTCTATGTTGTTTGAATTTATGTGAATTAATGACTCTGTGTTTCTGGAAGCCAGTAAAGTTTCCAGTACCTCAAAATTTCCAAATTCAAAACATCAAACATTAGAAACTGTATCATTCTCCTTGACAAATTGAGTACTGTAAAACCTTAGGGACAGAATGTATCACTATTTGCTAAAATATTTACTATTTCTCCAGATGCGATTTTCCTAATATAAAGTAACAGTCATTTAGTTGTACAATAATACAACTACCTTAAGAGAATGCCAGCAGTGATCCCTATGCACAGAGCCAGGAGTAAACCCTGAGCACAGCCAGGTTGACTCAGAGAGAAAGAGAGAGAGAGGGAGGGAGAGAGAGAGAGAGAGAGAGAGAGAGGGAGAGAGGAGGGGGGAGGAAAATAAAATAAAAGAAAAATAAATATATTTTGACAAAATAGTATCTATTAAATATTCTTAGTTTTGACTGAATAGCACTGATTTTTGCTTATAATAATGTATGCATTTTCTTCACATAAAATGTAAAGCATAGCTATCCTCTTTTATATACTATGCACAACAAAATTCACAATTTATAGTAAATACTTACCACTACTGGAAGAATCATTCAGATTCAGTAGTCCCCCTCCTAGCCCTCGATAGCTGTGGTAGCTGTATGTTCCATTTCCATTTATGTATAACACCTCCGGAGATCCTGAAACAGATGAGGTTGAGTAGCTGCCCTGGGCGGCCTCTATTTTGCACTGCTTGTCAGTGGGAGAAGACTCGTCCTGCAATGAGAAACAGAATCCCATTAATCTAGAAATCACTATGCCATTTTGCCAGAACAAGGCAATTTTATTAGCTACCTGTCTGCACTGAATACTAAAAAAAAAAAAAAAAAAAAAAAAAAATTACTCAATGTTCGCACAGGAATGTGTTCTATAGCTTGGTTTGCAAAAAAAACAAAAAATGGAGAGTGAAGTGACTGTAAGATATTGCAGAAGGAGCAATGGAAAATCACCAGCCAAATCCAAAATTACATGGCATATAACCCAAAATTATATGCCCATTTCCTAAAAGTTCATTGGCAGATGACAAAAATATGACCTGTAAATACAGTGAAATACTTTTAATTTTAAGGAAAACCTGTCAGATTCTACAAGATGGATGAGCCTTGAGAACATAATGTTAAGTGGAATAAACTAATCTCAAGAAAAGATAAATACAGCATGATGCCACTTATACAAAAAAGCTAGTGTAGTCAAACACATAGAAACAGCAGAAAGGTGGTTGCCAGGAGGCAGAGGATGTAGGAGTTGGTGGGGGTGGGGAGTCCAGGGAGAGTAGTTTGTTGGGTGTAGTCTCAATCAGGCTGAAGAGTGGGGTTCTGGGGGAGTCTGTTATTTCACTAAGAGCACATGGCTGACAATATTGTTCTGTTTGCATGGAAATAATTGAGAAAACAAAGCCTACTTAAAAATTTAAAACCTCTTTAGACTTAGAAATTCTACAAAGTGAAACTGAAATCAGAAAAAAAAATTACATAATTTATCTTTCTTGAAATGTTTTTTTTTTCTGCAGTCTTCCTTTCCTCGCCCCTCCTTTCCAGCAATCTTCCCCCTGATTCATGAATGTGACCAATTTTTATTAAGGGCCAACTCCACAGAAGTCACATTATACACACCACCATATCCTGACAAAGAGGTGTTTTTACTTTGTTTTTCCTTTTCAAGCTACACTGTCCACAAAATGTGTATTAAAGCTTCTAACAATGTCTAGTTGTGAGGACACTGAAATTTAAATTTACAATATTATGTTTATATACATATGTATGTATATATAACAGTAAAACTGATATATTACAATTTCTTTTATCTGTGAATATATATCAAGTATAATATATATATATATGACATATATGATGTTCTTGCCTTCTGTGCTCTTCATTCTTTTTTTGTAAGGAATTATAGACCGATTATTAGTGAATTATTTGGAATATTCTGTTATAATCAAAAATAATTTTCAGTTCTCCATTTTACAGTGCATGTTATTACAAATTACTTTTGGTTTGGGGCCAAACCTGGTGGTGTTTAGGGCTTACTCCTGAACGTGTAGTCAGCAATCATGCCTGGCAGTGCATGGGGGACCAGGTAGAGTGCTGGGGACCAAATCCCGGTGAACCCTACTTGCTGTACTATTTTTCTGGCCTTTTAAGCATCATGTTACACTCTTAGATTAGTGGAAAATGGCCAAACCAATATGAATATTTCACATACAAAATCCATAGGTCTTTTCTAAAGTATAATAAAATTGGCTGGAATAATTTCTCAAACTCAGGTGTACGGACCTTGTCTGACTCTTAACCATCACGTAACCTCAAATCATCCACTCCCACACAAAGGGAAGACTGGACCCTCCATGTTTTGCCCCCAGAATTACCCATTATGGTGTTCCTTTAAAATCTCTAACACCAAAACTGACAAAGAAGTTACTTCATATATATCCTATATTAGAGGTACCAGTAAACCCAGGACTCTCATTTTTTTCACTTCTCCGTAACTCATGGTAACACACAAAGAGAGCCCAACTGCCTGGTTCTTATACAACAACGCACAGAAAATAACTTCAAACCACAAAGGTCACAATGGTAAACAACACAGAGAACTTACCAGGCATAGTGAGTGAAGTCACTAGCCCACATGAACCAAGCAATAATAATGAACTATATAACCTCTCAGATAAGGAATTTAAAATGGAACTGTTAAGAATGCATAAGGAGCTCAAGGGGGAAAAAAAGCCACAATGGATAACACTGCTAATAAAATACAAAAGGATATGAGAGCAGAAATGAGGAAAATAAAAACAAAAATACAAGCAGAAATGAGACACCTGAAAACTTGGTAGGTGAAATTAAAAAAAATACAAAAACCTTACTGGAAGTCTCAGCAGCAGGGTAACAGACGCTGAGGACAGAATCAGTGAGCTCAAAGATGAGTTGTAGAGAATCCCCAGAAAAAATAAAACAACAGATATCAAGAGAAAATCAAGATGAAGCTCAGAGGAATAACATAAGAATCATTGGGGTCTCCGAGGGACAGGAAGAAAACCTTGATGAAGCAGCGAGTGTCAAAGCCACCATTGCTGAGACATTCCCTGAGCTGAAGAGTGCATGCACCCAGATTCAGGAGGTCTGAAGGGTGCAAGCTGAAAGAAATCCAAATAAAAATACTCCAAGTCACATCCTAATCAGAATGACAAAAACCAGAGATAGAGAATTCTGAAAGCAGGAAGACCAAAGAAGGTAACTGCTTATAAAGGAATATCCTTAAGATTTACCACAGTTACCTGACGAAACTCTCCAGGCTTGAAGACCTGGGGGCAGAGGGGTGGGGGTATATAGTAAAAAAACAAAAAAACCCTCGATGAAATGAATGCTTCACCAAGAACACTTCACCCAGCTATAGTCTCATTTATACTTGAAAGAACAGTACACAGCTTCTCAGACAAACAACTCAGGAACTTCAAAGACTCAAAACCACAGTTGCAGGAAAAAATAAATGAGCTACTTTAAGATAAAACAAGACCCTTTACATGCCAAACTCCTGTAGAAACATGAGACAAAACCCTGTAACAATAATCTCTCTGTGTCAATGGGCTGAACGCACCAATTAAAAGACAAAGAGTGACAAAAATTGAACCCAACATTCTGCTGCCTGCAAGAAACACATCTGACAGTTAAGAGCAAATACAGACTCAAAGTCAAAGGTTGGAAAACAATTCTACAAGCAAACAATTGCCTTAAAAAAGCTAGGCTGAGCCCCCCAGCGCCATCTTACAGCACACAGCAACAAAGAAGAAAACTGGCTGGAGGGCCCCACAGCTCCCAGAGAATGCTCCAGGTCCCAAACAGAGCCAATATCACCGAGAGGTCCCAGATGGGGTAGGTGCTGCCGTTCCACCTTCTCCAGATGGAACTCCAGTGACCATGAGCTCCTACAAGCATAGCTCTGGCATTGTGGGTACCAGGACATTTATTCCTTATATAAAAAGTGATCAATGGAAAGTAAATCATCCAACATTTCTCACTGAAAATCAGGCTTAACTCTTTTTCAAATCACAACACCCCAAAGTAGAGAGAGAACAGAGAGAAATGCCCTACCACAGAGGCAGGATGGGATGGGGTGGATCGGGGGTGGGAGGGATACTGGGATCCATGGTGGTGGGAAATGGGCACTGGTGGAGGAATGGATATTTGAAATTAAATAAATAAATAAATAAATAAAAAGCTAGGCTAGTCACACTAGGATTAGACCACATAGACTTCAGACTGAAGAAGGTTAACAAGAGACAGTGAAGGTCGTTTCTTAATGATCAAAGATCTGTACATGTGTATATGCACCTAATGAGGGACTAGCAAAATACTTAAAACAACTGCTCATAGACTTGAAGAAAGACATTGACAGCAATACAATAATAGAGATTTCAACACCATTTTATCAGCATGATAAATCAACCAGACTTTAGCTCAGCAAGGACATACTTTATTTGAGGGAAAAAATGGAAGAAAGGGACTTAGTAAATACATATAGGACATCTCATCTTCCAAAAGCTGAATGTAATGTGAATGAAACTGATTCACTTCTGAGGGGCCAACCTCCCTCCTTCTATGGGGACAAAGATAATCATATTTACATATGTACAAAAAGGATTATAGTACATATACATTTTTATTTTACATATACTACTATTCCACATATTTTTCTCTCCTTCCTGTAAAGTCATCCAATTGTCAATAAAAAATTTACACTAATTAGGCTAAGAATGATTTGTCTGTATTGAATATATATAGACTTTTCCCTTTATTATTCTCAATAGTGTAACAACCACTTATGCAATATTTATTTTGTATTAGGTGCTATTAGTATCTTAGTGATAACTAAATTATTCAAAACATATGTAGGCTATAAGCAATACTACACTATTTTATATAAGGGACAGAGTATCTTCATATTTAATATTTATGAGTGTATTGGAAGAACCGCTGCAAATAAAAAGGATTAACTTCATATAAATTATTCATACCAAAGTAAAGATGTTATGCATATTTATTTTATGCCTATTAAATGAGTAAAGTCTGTAAAATGTTTAATTTGTTATGAAAGTAATGTTTTCATAAATAAAATTTTCCTATAAATCAGTTTTCAAAATATCCACAGAATTAGAAAGCCTCTTGAAAAAATGTCTTAAAGACTTTCTGAAATTATGGAGTGAGGTATATAGAGATGTTTTTGTATTGTTTTATTTCCTTCTACCCAGATTTATAGCTTTACGTTGTTCTACTCTACATTCATAAAATAACCCTGTCTAAACCATTATGAAAATGACTGGGCCATGGTATATTATTTTGGTAAATACCTGTAGCCCATTAAAACTGTGAAAGAAAGCAGAACATTTATACTTCAAGGAAACTGTCATGTGAAGTGACTGATCTCAAACCTATTTCACCACTAATGGAATTTTCCAGTTTTTTGACTGAAAAGATCTTGGAAAATATGGCAAATTTGATTTTATAGCTTTTGAAAATTAGTGGTTGGGCTAAAATATGCAAGTGCATATTTTCTTTGTTTGGAAAAATGACAATAAAATGTTCACAGAAGAATTTTTAAATAATGAGAAGAAAGAGAGAAGGAAAAGTAGATTGTCTTTACAACAAATTCTTCCCTATCTTTTTTGTTGTTGTTTTTGGGCCATACCCAACTGTCGTCAAGACTTACTCCTGTCTTTGTGC